CCTCCGTTCAGGTCAGCCAGTGTTTGAGGGCCACTATGCACAGCACAGCACAGCACCTCCCTGCCCCAGGGGCACACAGCATGAGGGACCCTGTGGCTGAAGGTGATGACTCAAATCACCGGCACCCGGGGTTGGCTGGGAGTGAGACGAGGCAACAGACAGACAAGCAACTAACCATAACCAGAGACAGAGGAGGAAGGTCCTACGTCAGCGAAATTTATGTAAGGAAGGGTGGTGCAGGCTGGGGCATTCTGCAAAGAGGAAACATCTTGAAAGAAAGTTGAGATGTAGAGGAAAAAAACTCATGGTCATTTCCAAGTCCACGCCTACAGCCCCCGTCACCTATTCCTGTCCTCCAGGATGTCTCACCCTGGCACCCCTCTTTACATCTCAATACACCCCACCCCCTTCTGGGGGACTCTCAGCCAGAAACAACATGTGGGAAAGCTCCTTTTTTTTCATTATTGTTGATATTCACAGGACTGCGTAGGGGTCGGCAGGAGCGGGAAGTCAAGGTCAAGGGGTTAAGAAACGTGTCCCAGTGATGAGGCAGGGAGTCAGGATGCTAACCCAGCCGTTCCCCATCCCTCCACAGCTGTCAAACACAGTGGATGGTGTCTTGCTGACGGACATAGACCCTGAGTCACGTCACCCGGGTTCAAAGCTCAGCTCTGACATTCACTGTGTGGCCTTGAGCAAAGTAGTAACCTCTCTTGTGCCTTCTTTTCCAGAGGCGCGAAAAGGCACTAATACTTCTTATGCTGGGGCTGTTGGGCAGATTTTAAACGATGACGCCTGTAAAATGCTTAGTACAATGCCTGGAGCATAGACAATGTCATTATTATCACCGCACACTGTCTTTCACTCAGTGCCTGAATGCATTTGAGTCTGACCGGTCGCTGGATGTACAGGCCTTTTCCTTCACCTCATTATCCTCCTCTGAAAAGCCGCTCCCGCCCCATGTGCAGGCCACAGGTCTGTTGGCCTTTTTGTACCGTCGCGAAACACCTGCTAGCTCAGCTGTGTCTGGGTCTGGGGGAGCTCTGAGGCCCCAGGGGGCTGTGGAAGGAGGGGTGTATGCCAGAGTAGAGGATTGAGCCAGTGAGTCAGTGAGTCGGGGGTGGGGTGTCTGTAAGCAGCCTCCACATCTGCTCCCACTTTCCGGAAAAACATCTGGCAGGCCACCATCCCCCTCTTCCTGGTGCTACCCCGGGCAGCCCAGGCAAAGAGCTTGCCTGCGCCTTGGTTGCTTGGGGTGGGCTTGCTTATGAGCTCCCCCTCAGAGGTTAGGAGAGCTGGGTCCTCAATAAATCCTAGACCCTCCCAGCCTCTCTCCCCGTCATCCCTTACGGCTCATCCAGGGACAGGGCAGTGATTGGAGGGAGCTCAGGGTCTCCTGGGATGTCCACCCGCTGACCCCAGCTCTCCCCCAGCCCATCTTTCTTCCATGAGCACCCGTGCCGGTCCCCACTCTATGCAGCTCCACTTGCGGAATCTGCAGAAGCGCCTCTGGCCTGATCTCTAATTCTTCCCATGGGAAACCAGCGGCCAAGGCCCACGGCCCGGGCCGGATTCTGGGATTCAGAACCAGCTTTCTCCTCTCTGCAGGTTAGAGTCACCCGGCACCTTTCAAAAACTCCCAAGTCCCAGCCACGTGCTGGACCAGTGAAACCCCACTGTCTGGGGTTGTGCAGGCTTCCGGGTTGTTTTGTTGTTGTTGTTGTTGTTTGTGTGTTGTTGTTTTTTAAGTTTCCCAAGCAATTCTAGCGTGTGGACAAGAATGGAAGCCACTGTCCTCCCACCCCAGCACCAAGGTAAGTGGCCAGGCCCCATGCTAAGTGCTTTAACGAAGCACTGCCCGTCTGTGCTTCTCTTTGTTATTTTTGACTCTCAGGACGTCAGGAGGGGCTTCGTGCATCAGTGAAAAGCTGCTCTGCATTTATCAGCACCTGCTTGCTAAAGCTGAAGTTAATTAACATGCTTAGGTAAATATGCAAAACCACAATGAGGATTCTCTAATGACACATTAATGCCTTAATTGAGTTTATAAAAAGTAAAAATGAATGTTGAAGCTAATTAGAGATGGACTTGCCAAGAGACATATGGAAAATGCTCAAAGTCACTGATCATCTGAAAGATGCAAATTAAAATGACAATGCGGTATCACCTCACACCTGTCAGAATGGCTACAATCAACAAATCCAACAAATGACAAGTGCTGGAGAGGATGAGGAGAAAAGGGAATTCTCGTGCACTGCTGGTGGGAATGCAGATGGTGCAGCCACTATGGGAAACAGTGTGGAGTTTCCTCAAAAAACTAAATATGGAACTGCCATTTGACCCAGTCATCCCACTTCTAGAAGTATATCTTAAGAAACCTGAACTACCAACCAGAAAAAATATATGTACTCCTATGTTCATAGCAGCGCAATTTACAATAACTAAGATCTGGAAACAGCCCAAGTGTCCATCAGTAGACGAGTGGATAAAAAAAGCTATGGTACATTTATAGCATGGAATACTATGCAGCTGTAAGAAAGATCTCTTACCCTTTGAGACATCATGGGTGGACCTGGAGAGTATTATCCTAAGTGAAATAAGCCAGTCAGAGAAAGACAAGTATCACATGATCTCAATCATATGTGGAATCTAATGAACAAAATAAACTGATGGACAAAATAGATCCAGAGACATGGAAGCATGGAACGGATTGATGAATCTCAGAGAGAAGGTGTAGGTGGGTGGTGGGTGGGGAGAGACTAACTGGGGAACTTATATGCATATATGCATAACCCTTGGACACAGACAATAGTGTGGTGAGGGCCTGGGAGGGGTGGGTGTGGGATGAAGGGGGTCAATGGCGGGGAGGGGGGGGGCAATTTGTAATATTTTCAACAATAAAGGTAAACTTAAAAAAATTAAATAAAGTGGAACAAATCAATCTTCTGGGCTATATTTTTTTATGAATAAAGTTCTGGGAAACAGAAATATGTATTATACTTCAACATATACTATGTACTGAGTGGCCAGATTATTATGATCTCTGAACAAATAATAATCTGGCTATATATATATATATGTTATTTCCGAGGCCTGGTGCATGAATTTGTGCATGGGTGGGTCTGGCCAGCCTGGCGAGAGGGAGGGGACATGGCAGTTAGCCGGCCTGCCTGCTGGTCAAACTTCAGGTTGAGGGGACAATTTGCATGTTAGCCTTTTATTATATAGGATATACACTGAGTGGCCAGATGATTATGCATACAGAGATCATAATCATCTGACCACTCAGTGTACAATGTCCAAATGCTTCCAGTGGAATTGCAATTATCTGTAAGTTTTTCAATCCCCTGAGCAATTAGATAGACAGTTTTTATCATTTTCAGTAATCTAACAAGTTGTAGCCTGCTTTCCCTGTGACGAGAACACAAGGAGACAAGACAAATGTCCTCTAGCCACGGGAGGCATTGGTGCGCGTAGGATTTGGGACGTGTGCTGCTTTTATCAGACCTTGGTTTCTTGGCCTCTCCGGAGTCAGTGGGTCCATCGTTGGTAACTGTCTGGGTCGTGGACTCCTGAGTGTCTGCTCAAACGGCGCTCCTCCTTGGGAACAGGCACAGCCGTACTCATGTGAAGGCAACTTTGCACACAACCTCTGGGAGCGCCTGGTCTCCTCAAGTCCTCCAGGCCCCCAGTGGAGTCCAAAAGATGAGGAAACAAAGGCTAAGGTGACGCAAGCTGCCAGTTAACAACACCATCGGGATTCCAACTCAGATCTTCGGTCCTTAAGGCCATTCCAGGAGCGACAGGCCTAGGGAGCTTTGCCTGGCTGCAAGCCTGACTCTGCTGCCTGCCTATTGCTATGCGATGCGTAAGTTACATCACCCCTCAAGGCTCTGGTTTCTTTTTTCTTTTGTTGATTTTTTTTTTTTTTTTTTGACAGTGAAAGAGAGAGAGAAAGGGTTTGATTTGTTGTTCCACCCACTTACTTATGCATTCACTGGTTGCTTCTTGTACGTGCCCTGACCAAGGATCAAGCCCGCAACCTTGGTGTATGGGGACGACTCTCTAACCCAGTGGTCGGCAAACTCATTAGTCCACAGAGCCAAATATCCACAGGACAACAATTGAAATTTCTTTGGAGAGCCAAATGTTTTAAAACTTAAACTTCTTCTAATGCCACTTCTTCAACATAGACTCGCCCAGGCCGTGGTATTTTGTGGAAGAGCCACACTCAAGGAGCCAAAGAGCTGCATGTGGCTCTTGAGCTGCAGTTTGCCGACCGTGGCTCTCACCAACTGGAGACCCGGCTGGGGCCATGCTTCGGTTTCTTAATCGGAAGACAGGGTGATGAAAATCGAATCTTCCTTGCCTGCTGGCGCCTTGTCAGAGCGCTAGGGATGTTCGCTACAACTATTTACAAATGAGGAGACGCTCGGAGAGGCAGGCTGCTGTCCTCAAGTCACCCAGCTGGGTCTGGGTGCTCACCACCTGCATCCCCAATTCCTCCGGGGCCCTGTTTTCAAAGTCGTCACCAACTAGGACCAGAGAGGGGCAGGAAGTCCCAAGGAGCAGCTTCAAGTTCAACACAGCAAGCCATCTCTCTCCTGCAGAGGAAGGCCCAGCGACCAGAGCAAGAGAGCGGGGCAGGTCCGTGCTGGTGGAAAGGGATGGACAGACCCGATGCAGTGAAGCTGGCCTGGGACAGGGCGGGGCTGCTGCCCAGGGAGGCCTGGCCTCTGACTCCCACCCCCAGGGTTGTAGACACGGCAGGTGGCAGCAGCAGGGGTGAGGGCACAGGTGGGGGAGGCGGCAGGGGCAGGCTGGGCTGGCCGGTTGCAGAGAGGGGTGGCCGGGGAGTGTCCAGCCACAGGAACCTTGGGCAGCCCGGCTGAGATTTCTGAAAACCCCTCCCCCCGGAGCTGTGGGCCGGGCTGTTGGAACACTTTCAGTTTTGTTTCTGCAAGAAACGAAACTCAGCAGGAAGACTCCGGGGCTAGAGCATGGAGGGAGCCTTCCAGGTGTGCGGGAACTGGTAAGGAGCTGTGTCCAGCGGCCACCCGAGCCTGCCCAGGGAGCCGGCGGGCAGAATGGGTGTTTGTGGAATGAGGAGACAAGGAAGGGGTCTCAGTTGCTGGAAGGGCTGGGAGAACAGTTGCTGGGCCTTCCTCTGCAGGAGAGACATGGCTTGCTGTGTTGAACTTGAAGCTGCTCCCAGGGAGGGAGGGCAGGTGCTCGGGGGCCCCTGAGGAAGGAAGGCTTACCCCTTCCTCAGCAGCTCTCTGGGGTAACGGGGTGAGGAAGTGGCCAGCACCACCTTACAGCACTGGGCCACACTCGCCCTCCACCCCTCCGGACAGTCCAGACTTTCTGGGACCGTCCCGAAGCCAAATAGCCAGGCTAGTTGTCTCTGATGCGCTACTCCTGATTTGGGGTTCTGATCATATGGTCTGCACACCAGTCTGAGACACGCCCCCCTCCCCTTGAGAAGGAGCGGTCTGAGACCAGTCTCAGACCAGTCTCAGACCAGTCTGAGAGCAGTCTGAGACACGCCCCCCTCCCCTTGAGAAGGAGCGGTCTGAGAGCAGTCTGAGAGCAGTCTGAGACACGCCCCCCTCCCCTTGAGAATGAGCCTGAGCAGAGTGCAGACCCGCACCTCTGACTCAGGAAGGGCTCACTCTCCAAGCGGCCCACCTGTGGCAGGAACCAGCAGGGAACCTTCCCAGAGAGCTTTGCTCCGGCCAGACCCTCCTGGCGCTTGGGTGTCTGAACCTGCTCAGGAGGAGGAGCTGAGGGAACAGGGCAGGGAAATCAGAGGGGGAGGGACCAGGCCAGGCAGAGGGGGGAGAGGGACCAGGTCAGGCAGAGCGGGGAGAGGGACCAGGCCAGGCAGAGGGGGAGAGGGACCAGGTCAGGGAGAGGCAGGAGAGAGACCAGGTCAGGCAGAGGGGGGAGAGGGACCAGGCCAGACAGAGGGGGGAGAAGAGAGGAAGGACCTTGAGGCAGTCTTGGTAACAGGGCAGGGAAATCAGAGGGGGAGGGACCAGGCCAGGCAGAGGGGGGAGGGACCAGGCCAGGCAGAGGGGAGAGGGACCAGGCCAGGCAGAGGGGGGAGAGAGACCAGGTCAGGCAGAGGGGGGAGAGGGACCAGGCCAGACAGAGAGGGGAGAAGAGAGGAAGGACCTTGAGGCAGTCTTGGTACCATCTCTCTGGGCGGTGCAGAGCCCAGAGCTTGTGCATACCAAGGGAGGGAGTCCCTCCCACAGGCAGGGACTTGAGGCTACAACTCTGACCGGCATTTGGGCCTTTCGGGACATGGGCACTGAGTCTCCTTCCTCCCAAGCTCCACAGCAAGGGCTGGTGAACGTGAAAGGAGGCACTCCAGGTCCATGGGAGGCTTGCGAAACCCCCTGCCCAGGAACGGGGAGGCTCAGAAGCTTACACTCTCCGGGGCCTCCGGGGCAGGACCGGGTTCCTGGGAGGGTTTGCTCAGTGAGCCTGCAGGCAGGGGACAGGTGGACGCCTCGGGCTCGCCCGGTCACGGCGATTCTGAAAGCTGCCATTGCCCTTGCAGCAAGCATGGGGGTGCCAGGGCTGGGCTCCCAACTGCTGTTGGCCAGGCAGGGGAACGCTTGAAAACAAGACAAAAATCTCTGAAAGAAGGTGGCATTTACTACTCCATTTTTTAAAAACAGCTTTCCAGAGATATAATCAACACACACGGTGTTTATGGTACATGTGTGAAGTGCACTGTTTCATGCATTTGACACGTGTGTATACCCATGAAACCATCCCCACAGAGAACCTATGAACCTGCCCAAGACTTCCCTGGGCCCCTCGGCAATCTCTCCCACCTGCTCCTTTCCACCACCCTCACTGGCCCCGGGCGGTAGAAGACCCTGTAGCGCATCCTTTATGTTATACCCAGATTTCAGGATCCCCAAAGACCACCAGGGAGCCGAGTCCGATGCAAAAGCAAAAGAGTCTTTATTCCAGGCTAGCCCAAGCTCACTCCCCACAGATCAACGCAGCAGCCAGGTGGAGAAAGAGGGCGGGTTCCTCTAGAACAAAGGCTTTATAGGGTGGTGAGGTCACTGCTTTGGCTGACTCCCATTGGTTGGGTGAGGGCTAAGGTCCAGTTACACAGTGACATGGTTATACATAATGGAAGATGTAGCACAAGATGGAGTCAGGAGTTGGCCCCGCCCTGCCCCACAATACAAATTGGAGTCGGGAGTTAGTTAACCCTGTCCTGCCCTCTCACTTTACACTTTACGGTTTTGCGATGTTCTGATTTGGGACCAGTGTGGGGCCACGGGGACAGTGACGTCACCTTCATATGTTCAGCGTTTGAGGCCTGGACATTCCTTCACCCGGCGGTCCTGGGTGGGGAGCAGGGCTCCATGCTTTATCCCCGCCATCGGCCTGACGTCCCCCTTTATCCCCCTTCATCCGGCAGCAAAAGACGGGTGGCCTCTGCCCACCTGGCCCTCCACGAGGCGCACTGCCTGGTGTTCCTGGCCCAGTGCCCCGAGTGCCAGGAGCCCGTCCCCCAGGCGAAGATGGATGAGCACCGCCAGAGCGGGCACCAGCAGGTGAGGCAGCCCCGGGAGGGACACAGCTGGGAGCCGCGCAGCGAAGCTGACCCGGACCCTTTGCTGCGGCCGCAGGCCTGGCTGCCGAGGGCCAGTCGCCGGCCCTGCGTGCCTCAGGCCCCGTGCAGTGGACACTCCGCTGTCTCCTGGGAAACTGAGTCTACCCTGCTGTAGACTCAGTTTCTACAAGCATCCGGGCTTTCCTTTGTCACCTTGAGTAGCTTGTTTACCGGGAGAGATGTACTGGACAGGCATTTTAGGCTCAGGCCACATATTACCAAGACAACCGGTGAAATCAACATCCGATCTGTCACGCTAATAGCTGCGTCCTCTGCGTCCTCTACAACTCACAAAGGGGTGACCACCCCCCCCCCTTTCCCTACAGGCTTATGGTGTAGCCCAGGGGAAGGGACCTCCGTTGCAGGAAAGACTGGGTGTTCTTTTTTTAAAAAAATTAATTTCTTTATTGATTAAGGTATCACATATTTGTCCTCAACCCCCCATTCCAATCCCCCCCCCCCAACTCATGCCCTCACCTCCCTATTGTCCTTGACCACTGGTTAGGCTCATATGTGTGTCCTTTGGTTGATCTCTCTCTTTTATCCCCACCCTCCCTTCTGGGTGTTCTTTTGAGATTGTGAGGAGGAGAAGCTGGAGAGGAAGGCTCTAGAAGGCAGTCAGGGCCAAGGCTGGCTTTTCTTTCCTGCTCTTTCATGTCACTCCTTCCTGGGCCCCTCCTCTGTCTGTCTGAGATCCTCAGGCTCAGGCATCCCTTTCAACTCAAAGCATCCCCACCCCCAAACACTTCTTGAGCAGGAGGCTGTGCCCCCCCCCCCACCCCGGAGCCTGAGGCAAGCATATCCATCCGGCCTGAGGGCTCACCGAGCCCCGCCTGGTGGGAGGCGGAGGTGGGGGAAGCCAGCGGGTGCTGGGACCGGTGTCTCTCTCTGTGCAGGTCGGGTGTGCCATGTGCCAGCAGATCATGGGGAAGCAAGAGCTGGCGTTTCACGAGGTGAGAATCAAGTGTCGTCCATCCTTCACTGGAGCAGCCACCCTGGGAGGAGAGGGGAGAGGAGGGGCCGGTGGTGGACTCTCCCCTGATCTCTTTCCTCCCCCCCGGGAGGCTTGGGAACAGTGGGGAATCTGTGCAGCAGGGGGACACACAGCCTCCGGTCCCCCGATGCTGGTCAGAGGGCTTGCTGTGGTCCGTGGCCCAGGAGGGCTCAACATCTCCAAAGGGGTCCCACTCTGGCCCATCCCGTCGGCTTTCTTACTTGCTCAGGCCCCTCGGGAAATCGGCCCGTGTCCCCAGCTGGGCTCAGCCACTCCAGGCCAGTGACCTTGCCATCCTGCCCGCCTCCCCGCAGACCAGGGAGTGCCAGGAGCGCCCCGTCGTGTGCGAGTTCTGCAGGGCAGCCGTGCGCCTCAGCAAGCTGGACATCCATGAGCACCACTGCGGCCGCCGCTCAGAGCTGTGCCCGGACTGCGACCAGCCCATCGTGCTCCGCGAGCTGGCCCAGCACAGGAAGGCCTGCGGGAGCAAGCAGGCCCAGCGCCAGACAGGTGAGCTGGGCTGGAGCCTCCTGGACGGGTGCGAGGCATGTGGGCATTCAACAGGACAGGTGCCGTGGGAGGATGGCTGCTGTGCAGGTCTCAGGTCCATCTGGCTATTCTGGTTCTAGACCACGTACCATAGAGGTAGCCTCCCCGTGTGTGTGCTGAGCTCTTGGAAAGGCAAGCCCAGGGAGACCTACAGGCAGGGGGTGGGGGCTTGGGGGCCACCAGAAGGATGCAGAGGCAATGGGGCCCCGAGCTCAGAAACTGGTGCAATGAAAGAGCAGTCAGGCTGGATGGGGTTGGCATCTGTGCAAATGGCACCCTCATCTCTTTAGAAACCAGGAGAATGTCTCTTCATCAGGGTCACGGGCCGCGCTGAGCACACCTCTGCGGCCATAAAGAAGGTGATGGGGATGGCTCGGCCAAGGGTTGCCTGTGGGGCAACTGGCCATGCAGGGCAGGCGGGTGGGCCCGGACAGCTCATACTTGTGGCCACAGGCCATGTACCATGTATGCACTTGCGGGACAGCTGGGCTAGCCGTTGTCCAGAGCCATCATTTGTGGTGCTGTTTCTGTGTTTATTAGGGAAGAAGATTTCAGCTCCCGAAAGCACTATCTGCTGTCATTATTGCAACCAGATGATCCCAGGAAATAAGTATTTATACCATATGGTGAGTAGCAATTAGTCGTTTTCCAATGGTGCCCGTAGCTTGTCTGTTTTCCAGAAGGATAGTATTCTGGATCCAATTTTACATAAGGTATGAGAGGACCTCATTCATTTCTGGTTTTGCTCAAAAAAAAGATGTTGTGAATTGCTTTGGGCTAATTTATCATATGTAACCCATCTCCATGTGTGCCAGCTCTCAAAGAGAAGAAAAAGCAGCAGCAGCAGCAGCAGCAGAAAGGAGCCTCCCTGACCAGTCCAGCTACCTGGTCACCTCTGAGCATCTTCAACTTCAGGGCCTGGACGTGCCCTCACTGAGACCTGCTTTGTAACTGTCTGTCCCTTGAAAGAGTCTTGTCTATCAGACTGGGAGCTCCTTCACAAAAGTGAACAACTTTCTCCATCTTCCCAACATGAAGTTGATCTGAGGGCTGGGTACCAAAGGGGGAACTTTGTAGAAATGTGGTGATGTGATTGATTGATTGATTGATTGGATGCTTGATTGGCTTTGCTTGGGAACATTCACAGATTCTTCCCTCTAAGCACTGTGGATACATTGGTGGTGTCAAGTTATTCCCCTTTTCTGTAGGATAGAGCATTCTCTCTCTGGAGAAACTTACCAATGTTTCTCTCTAAGAAACTCATCTCCTTTTCCTTGAGCAGAAAAATATTTATCCTCTCTTAACCCTTCAATGCAGAGATCTATGACTATCAGAATGGAAAAAACCTAGGATGATCTAGATCTTTTTGCTTATTGTTGTAAAATACATATAAAACGTATCATTAGTGACACTTAGTGCATCCCCAATGTTGTGAAACCATCACCTCTATTTAGTTCTAGAGCATTTGCACCACCCCCACAAAAGGAACCCTTTACCCATAAAGCAATCACTCCCTACTCCTTCCTGTTTATAGTCCCTAGAAACCACTAATCTGCTTTCTGTCTCTATGGATTCATATAATATGTAGCCTTATGTGATCGGCATTTTTCTGTCAGCATAATGTTTCCAAGGTGTTACAGTGTGTGTTAGTACTTCGTCCTTTTGTGGTCTCCATGATCACACTACAGTTTGTTTATCCGTTCATCTGTTGTAGACATTTGGGTCATTGCCACCTTTCAGCTCCTTGATATGTGAAGTGTGGTCCATTGCCCACCTATAGCAGCATCCCCCCGGGAGCTTGTGAGAAGTGCCAAATCTCTGGGCCTCCCCCTAGAAATGACAGCTCAGAGTCTGCTATTTCACAAGATCACCAGCATTTCAAGTTTAAGCAGCATTGCCTCTGCCAAGTGATCCTCAGCCTTAGCCGCACGTGGAAATCTCCTGTGCTTTTGTTTTCCTGATGCTTATTCAGTTACCTAAGTGGTCAATGTCATGTGTTTGACGTAGAAGATACTTGGGGAGTACAAAAACAAGGGTGAAGCTGATTACTTCCCTCCAACATGTCCAGACTGGCAACCTAGGAGCCCATGCACTTACTCTCAAACATGGAACTGGCTTTGTGGTCAGAAACTCTGGGTTGTAGTGCTGCTCTGCCACTGACTGGTTGTGTAATTTCCCTGAGCCTCTCTCTTCTTTTGAGGGAAATGGGGATAATGGTTCGTCTACTTCTTTATGAGAAGAAAACATCCATGACCACTCACCACAACATGTACGTTCGTGCCAGCCTCCACACGTGCACACTCTGCTTTTCCATCCGTTAACCATAGAGGAGCTTTCTACGTTCCTATCTAACGCTGGCTGGTGTACTGCACCCCATTCTTCCCCACACAAGATCATTGTCCCACTGCTCCAGCAACTGTCCCCTCTCTCTCCTGCAACAGGGAGAGGTGAAATGAGCTGCCCAAGTAGGTAGCAACAGTCTCAGACTGTTCACTCCAGTATGTTCATCAGGAGGCTTTATGGTTCTCAGTCTTTCACTTTATATTAACACCAGAGATCCAGTGCACAAAATTCATGCATAAGTAGGGTCCCTAGGCCTGGGATCAGCTGCTGGCAGGGACCTGCCTTCCAGTTGCTGGCCAGGGCCTCCCTTCCCTGGCTGGCAGCTGCAGGCCGGATCCTTCCTTCATTCTGCACTGCCCCCTGGTAGTCAGCACACATCATAGTGAGCCATCGGTCTCCCAGTCAAACTCCCCTGGGGACAATTTGCATATTAGGCTTTTATATATATACATAGATGATCCAAAAACAGAAAAGCAAAAAATACTTGATCTCATTTTCTGTTAGCTACCACCTTCTTTATTTGTTTCCTTTTATAGCAAAATGTTTGAACAAGTTGTCTCTAGTCATTAACTTCCTTTCTTTTGCCCATTTTTATTCCCACTCCAATCTGGCTTCTGTACCTCCCCCAAAAAGAACCTTCTCTTATCAAAATCAATGACCTTCACATAGTGAAATCCAATGGTCCATCCTCAGTCCTTTATGAGAAGACCACTGTTCATCACTCCCTCTTCTTCAATTCACTTCAATTCACCTCTTTCTGGAAAATAATAAGATCTTATGGGGGAGGGGGGAAAAACAGGCAAATTTAAATGAGAAATAAGTAGAACTAGAAACGAAAAATAGTTTTTAATGATATTACAAAAGTTTTCAAACAAATATGAAAGTAGGGAAGTAATATAATAAACCCCTGGGCACTCATCACGCAGGTATACCAACAATCAAAAGTTTTCAACATTGTTTCATCTGTCCCTTTTCTTTTATTTTTCAAAAGTGTTTTAAAATAAACCCAAGATAGCCTATCATTTCATCCGTCATCCTTTAATGTATATCTTAAAAATAGTCATTTTCTTACTTAACAACAATGCCTTCATCATTCTCAACAATATTAAAATAATTCTTTTCTACCATTTTTTTTTTTAACCATGGGCGATGCTTGTTCCTTTCTGCTGCTGCTGCTGCTGCTGCTTTTTCTTCTCTTGCCTTCTATTGGGTTGAGCAAATGTTCTTTCTTCTCTTCTACTGATTTGGCAATTTTGCATTCTATTTCTATCATTTGCTAGATACCCATAAATTTTAATATGAATACCTGGCTTAAAGTTTAAAATTAGTCATATTCTCTAACCTTCTAAAAAACAATATATGGATTTGAGAACATGTTGACTCTAATGTTCTACTCTCACCTGATGCTGCCAAAATAATTTAGTTCCACCTTGTTTTCATACTACCCCTCTCTAGTCATTCTTATTAGTGTTCTATATAATTCATGCCTGTTTGGACATACTCACATATTTACCTTTTGCTTTGCTCACATTCTTTGAATCCCAAGCTTTTCTTCTGGGGAAGAGTTCTCTCTTCCTGGACTACACTTCTCAATAGTTCTTTTAGCAAAAACTGTGAGTAGGAAATCTTTACTTACCTGAAAATGTACTTCTTTTTTCTGCATTCTTGGATGGTAATTTAGCTGGATATTAATTATTATTTCCTCTTAGCATTTTGAAGATCATTCCAACCATCTTTCAACCTCTTTGGTTGTTATTGATAATCTTTCCATGTCATTGTCTGCCTTCCATGGAATTGTCATTCCTTTGTAGATATTTTTTTCTTTGGTCAATTTCAAGATCTCTTCACCTTTTGAACTTCTGAGATTTCACTGCAATGTATCTAAAAGAGGATCTATTCTTACTCATACAGCTCAGAACAATGTGCTCAAATGTGGGGTTTTTCCTCTCTTCCCCAGGATTTCCACTACCTGAATCTAAATATGTATCTCTCTAATCAGTTGAGAAAAAGTCTAAGCTCTAATTTCTTTGGATCCCCAACATTCCTTAACTCTCCCATGTTCTCCCCACTCTTCCCGTGGAACATAACAGATGTATATTAAGCCTTCTCATTCTAGCTGCTTGTCTCCTAACTTTTCACATTTTCTATTTATCATGCCTATATTCTGGGGGATTTCTTCAAATCTATCTACTCTGCTGTTTTTTGCCTATCCATTGAGTTCAATATCTGTATTTTTTATTTCTAGTTCTACTTTCTCATTTAAATTTGCCTGCTCTTTTTTCATAGGATCTTATTATTATTTTCTCTTGTTCTATTTATTTTTAATTCATTTATTTTACAGTCTGCATCCCATAGTTTTATTATCTGAACTTCTTGGAGACTAATCCTGGTTTTGCTTGGGTATGACTCTTGCTTAGGTAGATTGCTTCCTGTGTGTCTGTAAGCCTTACTTGTGAGTTTCTGTTTAGTGATTCTACCTGTGAAAATCCTGTACGATGTAGCTTGAAGTGATTATACCCTCCAGAGAACTTTTGTTATTGCTCATTCCAACTTGTAGGTTAATTCTTCTGCATGGGTGTTCTCACAGTATGAGACTAATGTAATCAGAGCCCCAAACACAAAGATGGCCTAGACCTGTGGTTCTGAATTGCCCAGAGCATCAGTTTTCCTTTCCCTCACTCAAACTCCAGCTCAAGATAGACAAGCTTCCTTGCCACTTTTCTTATCCGATTAATTGATTGATTGGTTTGTTTGTTTGTTTGTTTATTTATTTTGCCACCATAGTTTAGCCTTTGAGGTTCTGGACTATCAGAAAGGGGAGTCTTACTTTCAATTCCCCACCTTGTGTGGATGGGAATTTTCTCTCATCCAAGATTGACCCCACATCTCCCAAAGTGTCAGTCCAAGTGCTTCACGGGTGAGGTTTTCATCCTGGGCACTGAGCTTTCTCCCTTTCTTACAGAGTCAGCTATCAACTTAAGAGAATGTTTGCTGTATTTTATCCAGCCTTTCTAACTGTTCCTGGTGGAAAGTTTCCAGGTTATCTAGTCTACTGTACTGTTCAGCCATTAAAGCCAAAGTCATTTTAAAATTTGATCTATTACTCACAATTGTAGGATAAATGCCATGCCACCTCAGAGTCTGCAGAATATTTTCCAGTTGAAGAGATGAGAAGTTCTTCTCCGTCCCTCTCAAGTCAGGCTGCTGAAGATCAAACTTCCACCGCAGTGAAAGATGTTCGCCCAAAGACAAAAAATATAAACAGATTTCCTCTTCCTTCTGAAAATTCAACAAAGAAAGCAGCGAGTGGCACAAACAAAACCCTGGATCTGTCTCTGAGGCCCGAGCACAAGCCCTTGGTCGTGGACGACCCAGCCTACGACGTTCTGCACAGATGTCCTCAGTGTGATATCCTCCTTCCCCTGCCGACCCTCAACCGACATCAGGTACCAGCCCCTGTCCTCTCCTTACCTGGTTGTACACCATCTGGACAGGGTTTAGAGAGACCCAGGAGCTGCAAAAATGTGTGTAGCCCTGCCACTGGAAAGGCCCTTCTCTGTCTCCTCCTCTGGGTGCCCAAGTCCACTCTCTCCTGGCACTTCCCACCGGGTTTATTTGCATGGAAGACAGAGCCAGCTCTTTCATCTCCATGTCCTCAGTTTCGGGCCCAGGGGCTGACTGCACCAAATGCTTAAACTGTTGAGTAAATGAGTGAAACAGAGGGCCTCCAGTCCAGCTCTCTCCTGTGTTAGGTAAGGCAACGGAGATCAGAGCCTCATTCAAGATCCTAAACCAGTTGGTATCTTGCCTCCAGCAGATAGGATTTGCATCCTAGGTATCCTGAGTTTTACCTCCAAATGATTTTCTAGTAATAGTAAAAATCAGCATTAGAGGTAGTTAACCATTATGTGCCAGTTACAAGGCAGAGTTCTTTCCACACGGTCAGTCTTCATTATACATCATAGGCAGGTATGTTGTTTGTATTTTACAAATTAGGAAACCAGGCTGAGTTATAATTCCCCGGGATTATACAGTTAGAGAGTGGCAGGATCCAGCCTGGGATCCGCGTGTATCGAGTTCCGAAGCTTACGCTCTTAAGCTCCAGACTGGATGCTTCACTTAAGAAAAAAAAACCCTTTAATTGTTTGTTTTTAAAAATACATGCTATCCAAATACCATACAAAGATATAGCAGACAAAGCTAATCCTTCCACTCCCCTCCCCCATCCCCTCTTCCCAGTCCCACGCCCTGAGTTACCAACATCAGCAGCCTGGCTTTACGTTTGCTCACTCAAACCTGAACAAACCTGTATGGGGTTTGAATTCTTTCTTTTCCCCGGGTATTACCTTCCGATACTTATCACACCACCACTTGCCTTTTTCAGTTAATAGGATCTATCCTCCTTACAAAAAGTTAGACTTAAATCTCTATTTTCTAACTTCTTTAAGCATCTATATATGCACATAAGCATGGCATTTTACAAAGACGGGTGAATTTCATGCTTGCTGAAGTGTTATTAGTGCCACAGTCTCTCTTTTTGAAAATTTAAAATTACAGTTTACATTCAGTGTTATTTTGGATTACCTTCAGATGTACAGCATAGCGGATGGGCATATTCTTTACAAAGTGGTGCCTCCAATATTCCCAGTACCCACCTAGCACCATACATAGTTATTACAATAGTATCGGCGGTATTTCCTATGCTGTGTGATACATGCCTGGGACTGTTTTGTGATCACCAATTTGCGCTTCTTAATCTCTGCCCCTTTTTGACCTAGCCCTCAAAAGCCCCTCCCTTCTGGCAGCCGTCAGTCTGATCTCTGCATCTATGAGTCTGTTTCTGTTTTGTTTTTCCATTTATTTTGCTCTTGAGATGCCACACTACAAGTGATATCATGTGCTATTTGTCTTTCTCTGTTTGACTTCTTTCACTTGGCATACTACCCCCTCAGTCCATGCATGCAGATCCAACTGGTAAGATTTCCTTCCTTCTTATGGAAGAGTAGTATTCTATTGCATATGGAACACGATATCATCACTTTTTTATTCACTTGTCAGTTGATGGGCACTTGGATTGCTTCCATCTTGGCTATTGTAAATAACTCTTCAGAGAAGAGAACATAGGGGTGCATATACTTTTTTGAATTAGTGTTTGGAGTTTCTTCAGAGGTATATCCAGAAGTAAAATTGCTGGGTCCTAAGGCAGATCCGTTTTGTGTTTTTTTTTAATGTTTTTGTTTTAAATATATTTTTATTGATTTCAGAGAGGAAAAGAGGAGAGATAGAAACATCAATGATGAGAATCATTAATTGGCTGCCTCCTGCACGCCCCCTACTGATTGGGGATCAAGCCTGCAACCCGGGTATGTGCCCTTGACCAGAATCGAACCTGGGACCCTTCGGTCCACAGGCCAACACTCTAGCCACTGAGCCAAACCAGCTAAGGCCAGATCCATTTTTTATTTTTCCAGGAATCTCTGCACTGTTTTCCATAGTGGCTGCACCAACAGTGCAGGAAGGTTGTCTTTCCTCTACATCCTCACCAACACTTGTTATTTATTGATTTATTGATGATAGCCATTCTGACAGGTGACATGGTATCTCACTGTGGTTTTAATTTGCATTTCTCTGATGATTAATGATGTTGAGCATCTTTTCATATGTTTATTAGCCATCTGTATGTTCTCTTTGTAGAAGTGTTTATTCAGGTCCTTTGCCCATTTTTTTATTGGATGGTTTTTTGTGTGTTGTTTTGTGTTTGTTTGTTTTTTTTATGTTGAATGGTATGTTGTTTATATATTTTGGATATTAACCCCTTATCAGATGTATCATTGGCAAATATCTTCTCCCATTCCGTAGACTGTCTTGTTGGTAGTTTCCTTTACTGTGCAAAAGCTTTTTAGTTTGATGTAGCCCCACTTGTTTATTTTTTCTTTTGTTTCTCTTGCCCAAGGAAATATGTCAGGTGTGGGGGGAAGAGAGAGAAACATTGCTAAGAGAAATGTCACAGATTTTATTACCTATGTTTTCTTTTAGGAGTTTTATGGTTTCAACTCTTACACTTAAGTATTTAATTCTTTATTTTAGGTTTTTCTTAATATGGCGTTAAGAAGGTGGTTTCTTTTCTTTCTTCTTCTTTTCGCATTTACTTGTCATTTTCCCAACCCATTTATTGAATAGACTGTCTTTATCCCATTTTTAAGTTCTTGCCTCCTTGGTCATAGATTAGTTGACTTTAAAGGCATGGGCTCCTTTCTGGGCACTCTATTCTATACATTGATCTGTGTATCTGTTTTTATGTCAATGCCATGCTGTTTTGATTACCTTAGTATAATTTGTTATTAGGTAGCATGATACCTCTGGCTTTGTTCTTCATCAAGATTGTTATTGCTATTTGGGGTCTTTTATGGTTCCATAAAATTTTGGATTATTTTGTTCTAGTTTTGTAAAAACTGCCATTGGTATTTTGATAGAAATTGCATTGAATCTATAGATTGCTTTGGGTAGTATGGACATTTTAATTTTTCCTATCCATGAGCATGGTATATGCTTCCATTTATTTGTATTCTTTAATTTCTTTCTTCAGCATCTTATAATTTTCTGAGTACAAGTCTTTTATCTGCTTGGTTAATTTTATTCCTAGGTATTTTATTTTTTTATGTAATTGTAAATAGGATTGTTTTCTTAGTTTCTCTTTCTGATAGTTCATTAGCCTATGTAATAAAACCCTAATATACCAATTGACCAAAAGGCAGAATGACCAGTCGCTATGACGTGCACTGACCACCAGGGGGCAGACGCTCAACACAGGAACTCCCCCTGTGGTCAGTGCGCTCCCACGGGGGGAGCACCACTCAGCCAGAAGCCAAGCTCATAGCTGGCAAGCTCAGGGGTAGGGGCAGGAGCTTCTCCCACCTTTGCTACAGGCTGGCAGTAAGGAGCGAGGGGTCCCGGACTGCGAGAGGGATGTCCAACTGAGGTTTAGGCTTGCTTCCCCCAAGGGTCCCGGACTGCAAGGGGGCACAGGCTGGGCTGAGGGACTCCCACCCCAGTGCACAAAATTTTGTGCACGGGGCCTCTAGTTGGTAAATAAAAATTCAACCAATTTCTGGATATTTATTTTGTATCCTGCTACTTTACTGAATTCATTTATCAGTTGTAGTAATTTTTGGGTGGAATCCTTAGGGTTCTCTGCATACAGTATCATGTCATCTGTAAATGATGGTTTTACTTATTCCTTTCCAATTTGTATATCTTTTATTTCTTCTTATCTGATTTCTGTGGCTCCCAGTACTATGTCGAATAGAAGTGGTAAAAGTGGACATCCCTGTTTTGTTCCTGATCTTAAGGGAAACGCTTTTAGTTTCTCCTGGTTGAGTGCCTTAGCTGTGCATTTGTTATGTATGACCTTTATTATGTTGAGGTGGTGCCGCATTCTCTTAGTTCCCACAGTTTGTTGTTTCCTTCCATACATTCCTTCATCCTTATATAATAGGGTTGCCAAATTTAGCAAATAAAAATATATTACTTGAGACAAAAATAATTACAAAGTAACAGCATGGGTCATAACCACATACAAACATACACATTTGGAGTCCGATTATATGTATTTCATTGCAACTTAATGTTATGATTTAGCAACACCCAAAGACATTCCTCCCTCCAAGTCAATATGTGGCTTTTTTTTTTTTTAATGGTTGCATAAGAGTCCCTTGTGTAGGTGTTCTTCAATCTGTCCATCCACCCCACTGATGATGATAGGCCTTTAGTAAACATTGACCCAACCCAACACCACACACACACACACACACACACACACACACACACACACACTAGGCCCTTCCTAGTTCACTGGGCCCCATGCCTTTTCTCTGTCATCCGTAGCTCAGGGTTTGTGCTCTGAGAACTAGGGAGGGCAGTACCCAGGGGTACCCCAGGAAGTAGTACTTTAAACACGTCCAACTTTTTTTATATCCATTTCTGTAGGAGAAATGCTGGTGGTTAGCTTCGTGGAGAAAAAAGCAAGGCAGAAGCTCCAGCTAGATCTGGGAAAGAAAAGGTACTGCTGATCTATAAGACAGGCTGGTCTCCCTGCCTCTCTGCGGTAGCCTCTCCTTGGAAGGGAGGTGGGTTATATTGCTCGGGGTTTTTCCTATGGAAGAAAGGGTTTGGATTGTAACTGTTTCCCTCTTTTTGGACAGAGATGTAGGTTTGCCCAAGAGGTACGGGAAAACCGGGAGAGAAAAAAGCCTCCAGCTCTTCGGCCTGAGAATTCTGACCAAGCATCTGGGCCCCATGGCCCGGACAGGTCGGGGGACCCCAGCTTTGTCCATTTTAAATTCCCACCAGCAACTGGAGTGACCATCATCATTTCCCCACATTCCCTGGCCGGCGTGTGGTATTACCGTCATCATTTTTTTCTAATTTTAACTATTCTAATAAGTACGTCTTCGTATCTTACTGTGATTTCAAATTGCATTTACCATAACAATGCTGAATATCTTTTCATTTGCTAATTTGCCATCTGAAATGTCTATTCATGTCTTCTGCTCATTTTCTAAATGGACTGTTTCCTTTACTTTGAGTTTTGAGATATGTGTATGTTCCCTGAAGAATAAAAACACCCTCAGAGGGAAGGCAGGGGAGGGGAGGGGGGTAAGAGATCAACCAAAAGACTTGCATGCATACAAAGAAGCACAACCAATGGGCACAGACAGTAGGGAGGTGAGGGCCTGTGCCTGGAGGCAGGAGAGAGCTGGGAGAGTTAAAGGGGGAGAGGGGGTGAGGAGACCTGTAATGCTTGCAACAATAAAGAAATAAGAATAAGAATAAGAATAAGAATAAGAATAAGAATAAGAATAAGAATAAGAATAAGAATAAGAATAAGAATAAAAACACCCTCCCTATAAGCTTCTCGTTCACCTTTCTTTGGATTCTCACTGGCTTCCCAAGAGAGGGCAGCAGTGGGCAGCAGGGCCAGATAGGGCCCTGGAAAGAGGAGGGCCAGGGCCAGGGAAAGAAAGAAAGAAAGAAAGAGAGAGAGAGAGAGAGAGAGAGAGAGAGAGAGAGAGAGAGAGAGAGAGAGAAAGGAAGGAAGGAAGGGAGGGAGGGAGGAAGGGAGGAAGGGAGGAGGAAGGGGGGGGAAGGGGGGGGAAGGGGGGGAAGGGGGGGGAAGGGGGGGGAAGGGGGGGAAGGGGGGTTGGGGGGGAAGGGGGGAAGGGGGGAAGGGGGGAAGGGGGGAAGGGGGGAAGGGAGGAAGGGAGAAAGGGAGAAAGGGAGAAAGGGAGAAAGGGAGAAAGGGAGAAAGAGGGGAGGGAGAGAGAAGGGAGCCTGGGCTGTAGGCAGAGCTGCCTGAGGGCCCTGGTGTGGGTGTTCTCCAACCAGTCCATCCGCAGCCTTGGTGAAGACAGGCCTTGAGCTAGCATTGCCCCAGCCCCTCACAGGCCCCCGAGCCCCCCACAGGCTCCCGGCTCACTGAAGCCCAAAGGGTGCCTGTGAAGGCTGTCTGTGGAGGGGGCTGGGAAAAGCCTGGAGATGCAACTGGCCGACAGTGTAGCCTCCCTTCTGCCTGGCCTTTGGGGTGACGCTGGGCACCAGCCCCGGCCTGGAAGGGAAGGGCCGGGACAGGGTTGCTTTGGGGTTTCCTTTGGGAGTCGGGGGGAAGGGGGGGGGGGGTAGTGGAAAACATTGCAGATCACCTGGGGATGGACTCTGACGAAGAGGTGCCTAAGCTGGGTCTCTCTGGACCTGGCAGGACGCTGGGGCTGGGGCTGGGGCTGGGGCTGGGGCTGGGGCTGGGGCTGGGGCAGGACAGGAAGGGCCCTGGACTGCGCCCCGAGTTCGGGGCAGAACCTATCATTCCCTGTCCAGAGGCGGGAGGGCAGGGGTCCTCCGGCCTCATCGCCCCTCCCCGTGATGCCCTCCCGACCGTGGGCGCAAGGACTGTCCGGGCCGCGCTGGGTGGACCCGGCCTCCCTGGGGCTGCGCCCTACGCCCCTTAGGGAGGAGCAGAGCCCGCAGCGGGCGCGTCACAAAGGCGCCCCCGCTGGGCATTCAGCCTCCGCGGGGCGGGGCGCGGCCGGAGGTGGCCGCGTTGGCTTCTGAGGAGCAGCAGGCGCACGCGGTCCCTGCAGCCCAGCGGGGCGCAGCCTGAGCAGGGCGAGCCGGTCCCAGGTGGGTGCGAGCGCCCATGCCCGCGGGAGGGAGGGGCTGCCGGCCCCCTCCTGGGAGCTCTCTCAGGGGGGTCGGCGATCTGACTTCCTTAGGTTTCCTTCCCAGGTGGGCAGCTCTGAGATCAGGTGGATGGACCTAGGATAGCGAGTCCCTTAGGGTGGTGGGTTCAAATCCACCCCTTCCTACTCCATCTCCCTGGGAGACTCTCTTAACCTCCTGACACCTCTGTGTTCCCATCTGTAAAGTGGGCTTGTTCACACCTTCCACCCAGGGATGCTGTACAAGTGCCCTGGCACCAGCTTCCTGAGGGCAGCAGGCACGTGTGCCAGCATTTACTTTGTGCCATACCCTGTTCTGGTGCTTTCCATAGATCAGCTTATTTAACCCTTCCACAGGAGGAGGAGCATGCCCCCTGCCCTTCCTTCCGCCTTTGGTCAAGGAATGAGGAGTAGGTTAAATAAGTAATAGGTCATTTCTGCTGTTTTCATACGTGGAGACGGAGGCACACAGACATGAATTAGCCTGAGGTCACACACAGCCATGGTCAGACCCAGGATCCAAACCTTGGGAAGCTACACAGCTTCTCCCTGGTGAGGAGGGGCGCCCCAGGAATTACACACGACTCTTGGAAACTTGCAACGACTTTCCCAGCTGCTGCATGTGTTCTTCCAAAGCCACCTGTGACGGTTCTTCTGACAAGGGGCTCTGCGAGGGCAAAGAGGTGGCTGGAGTGCTGCGGAGGCCCCTCGCCTAGGGCAGTCTGTGTGCCGGAGGGATGACCCTATTTTTTCATTTGTTAAATGCTGAAGTACCGACTCAATGAGTCCGCCCCTGGCCTAAGGGCTGTGTGGGCCCTGGGAGGGAAAGGCTCGGGCGCAGATCCCAGGAAGGGATGGACGGTGGGCGAAGGGGGGAGAGAGCAGGCAGGGACTCTGGGAACCCACAGGAGCCCTGTGTCCTGGGTGGGGGCAGACTTCTGCCAAGCCTCCCTCCCTCCTCATGGGAGTCTCTCTGGATCTGGAGGTGGGAGGGCCAGCTGGAGTCAGGGTCCCCCCTCCCCACTTGTTTCATAAGCCATGATGGGGTGATGAGGACAAAGTGGGGGAGAAGATCCCCAATAAAGTCCTCCACAGGAGCTCACTGAACGACGCTCAATGCCAGTGGGGTGCTGGCGGGAGCTGAGGAGGCCGGCACTCATCTAGGCAGAGTGGGTAGGAGGCAGACGGGGGCACCCACCACGGACAGCTTCAGATGATGGACATAAGCAGAGGGACATGAATGTGTTACAGAAAACGGAAGAAGAACAGAGCAATACCAGAGAGATGGAGTTACATTTATTATGTGCGGGTCCAGAGGCAAATGTCTCTCAAATTCTGGGCCCCAGCATGCAGGAATTCTCCCTATTTATATGATTTTACCTTCTTTGTCTCCCAAATATGGAGTGTTTCTGGCCCCCTTATGTAAGTTCTTAAAGAGCCCGTATGTACTGGGGCCTTGAGACCTCAGCCAGAGGCCTGGCCTGGCACCAGCACTGATAACCTTGTCTGGGGAAGGTTTAATGTACAGAAGCCAAATAGCAGGGTTAAAATTTCAAACAGCAGTTTTCATACAAGATGGATGCTTCAAATGAGGCCTACAAATATTTAATACTGGAGGCCCGATGCACACAATTTGTGCAAGAGTAGGCCTTCCTTCACCAGGCTGCCAGCACCAGCTTCTCTCTGGTACCTGGGACCTGGGCTTCATCCAGAAAGTCGTCTGGAAGGACTTCCAGAAGGATATCTGGTCTAATTAACATATTATACCTTTGTTATAGATACTTTTGAGGGGGCAAGCACACACGAAAAGATGCACATCAAATACACTGGAGAAGTTACCTGCAGCAGGGGGGCGATGCAGTGGGACAAAAGGAACGAATGAATAAATAAAACCTAAGAGAGGTCTTGGGCAGACAAAGGTCCTGCATTGAGAAATAGGATTAGCTTGTCCTTCAGGCCTGCCCCCTGCGGAGGTAGGAAGAATCTGTAGGAGAGCGAGAAAGCCCAGCTCTGGTCGAGCCCTGTTTCTAACTTGTTCTTAACCTCACGAAGCCCCTTCCCCTCTCTGGGTCTCAGCTCCCATCCCTTTCAGCTCTTAGTGTGAATGAACTCTGTCAATCTTCTTGAGCCCCTTGGTAGAGAAACCCATAGTTTTATGGAGCAGGAGGGCTGGAAGTTTCAAGAATGGGGGATTCGGGAGGGTTCAAGAACATGAGGGTACTTTCAGGCAGGAGAAGCACTGAAAGCAAAAAGTCAAGCTATCTCAGCATGTGGCTGTAGAAGTTGGGGGGCTCATGTTTCAGGAGGGCCTTACCCAGCTCTCCCCCCTGCGCCTCCCTGGCCTGGCGGGGGGCGCCACCTGCAACCCAACAGCCAAGTCAGGACTTCCCGTCCTCCCCACGTCTGTGTTCCCCAGTTCCCAAACCGTGTCCTCCAAAGAGCCCACCCCATTCCCGTTATCATGCCCCCCCCCCACCCAGGTTTGGGCCTGGACTCTGCTCCAGACCATCCTTCATCCACTCCCAAGTGTCCTTCCTGTACCTCCACACACTGACCACACCACTTCCGGATGTGTGACCCTTTGACCTTCCCTGGCCCCCTGTGACCTCATGGAGGTTCTCCACCCTTGTTCTGCTGCTACACCTTCTGAATATAACACGGCCATCAACCGTATAGCTCAACCCAGGGATTCTCATCCAAGGAAGGGGACCAGCCACATCAGGATTCCAAAGTCCCGGGAGAGGGGACAGGGGGGACCCTGGCGTCTGGGACACAGCCTTTATCACATCACCCAGAACCCCTTAACCCAGCCCCTCCCTCTACTCCAGCTCCAGTTCCCTCACTCCCTTCCCCTTACAAGTGAAGATCCATGGTGGTTCCCTGAATGTGAACACACGAACATTCACAGTGTGGTGGGGTGCGCTCCTTGTTCCCTTTACCCGGAAACCTTCAGCTCTTCCACCACTACCCCTAGGCCAACCTGGTCAGCCTTGCAAATCCCACTCACCCTGCAGAACCCAGCTCAGACCTCAAGCCTGCTCTACTTCCTGCTCACCCAGCCAGGCAGAGTCAGTCACCCTCTGTTTGTGCCACCCTACACCATGAATACATCTGAACCTTCTCAGTGCTCCCGTGCTACTGTAACTGCATGCTGGTCTGGGTCCCTGATAGACCCCTAAAGGGCTGTGGCTCCTGTGATGTGGACTGAAGGGTGACTTTATCTTTGTGCCGCGGGCACCAGCACAGTGTCTACTCCACAGGGGGCCATGGTGCAAATTCATTCATTTGGGTTTAATTTCTGTTTGGCAGGTAACAGGTAATGGCTCGTCCTTTTTACTCCCCACAGAAAACAAGTGATTGCTTTCCTTTGCTCATTTTTGGAAGCCCTGCCTACCACACAGCTGCACCGGACATCCCGTTCCCTGATGGATGAAGAAAGCCAACTGAACCAGCCCCAAGACCAGAGCTGCTGGGCCACCCTGCCCGACGTGTGCCTGCATCGTGTTTTCTGGTGGCTGGGAGACAGGGACAGGTCCAGGGCGGCCCTTGTCTGCAGGAAATGGAACCAGATGATGTATTCGGCTGACCTCTGGCGATACAGGACCATCACGTTCAGTGGGAGACCTTCCAGGGTACACGCCTCTGAATTCGAGTCAGCTCTTTGGTATGTTAAGAAATTTGGTCGTTATCTGGAGCACCTGGAGATCAAATTCCTGAATCCTTACAACGCTGTCTTGACCAAGAAGTTCCAGGTCACCATGCGAGGCCTGCTTTCGAGTCTGGGCAAGAGTAACAACCGTCTGAAGTCTCTCTCCATCCAGCACCTGGAGCTGGAACGCCTGGTCTGGAGGAACAGCATCCGGAGCTCGTTCATCAAAAGCTTGAGCTTCTTCTTAAAGAAGATGGGCAAACACCTGGATTACCTCAACCTGAAAGGGGCCAGGCTGACTGTGGAGCAAGGCTGCCATGTTCTCAACTCCCTGAGCTACTTGAGGAATGAGAGTATGGCCTCAGAGCTCAATATCGAGGACTTCTTCAGCCACCACCTCGCTGTCTACAGCAGCCCCCAGTTCAACAAGACCATGGCCACATTCCAAAACCTGGCGTCCCTGACCCTAAACTACAACTGCATCTCCGACGAGCTGCTCGAGAACTTGTGTGAGAACAATGCCAGCACCCTCTGGACCATCAACATCAAATGCCACATCCATGACCCCCATGGCCAGGTCATCTGGGGCATGTCCTGGGCCAAGCTGGCCAGGCAGGCTGTCAACCTGAAGGTGAACTTCTTCTTCGAGCGGGTCATGAAGTACGATCGCTTGTCCCGGATCCTCTTGCAGGAGATCCCCGTCAGGAGCATCAGTCTGAGAAGCTGCTATTTCAGTGACCCGGACTGGTCCATGCGGCCCACTCTACTGGACCTGCTGCCCACCTTCCGGCACACTCTGCAGGTAGGTATAACCCGAGGGTGGGGAGGCGTCCAGGAGTGACTGCGCCCAGGTTACTGGCTTCCCCATCGGAAAGGCTACTGCCGCCTGCTCTGGGCTGGGCTCGCTCACACTCCGTCACCCTTAAACTGAGGCTCTGGGAAATGCGACAAAGCTAAGCCTCCTGGCCCCGTAAAGTCACAGCAGACCACAGAAGGGGCTGCTCACTTCCTGCACATGGAACGCAAGGAATGTTTGGGTTGAATGTCAACCAAGGAAAACCCCTGTGTCCCCAGCACAAAGGTGTACCCAGGTGGCTCCGTTGCTTGGGGCTTCATCCCACACACCAAAAGGTTGGGGCTTTGATTCCCAGGCAGGGCACATCACAAGTACAGGTCCAGTCCCCAGTCAGGGCACATATGGCAGGGAACCAATCAATGTTTCTCTCTCTTGGGGGGGGGGGGGGGAAGTTGAGTTTAAAAAAACATCCTTGGGTGAGGATTAAAATAGATGTTTATAAGAAGGTGCATCTACAGGAGAGTAACAGGTCTGCAGCCCCTTCTTCTCTTCCCATAGGTCCCGAGGAGGCAGGAAACAGTGTGACTTCAAACCAAACAGAAAGCCAAATTTGACCCAAGCCACTGAAGGGCTCAGAGGGGTGGGCTGTTCTGTAATCTGGCAGCTCCCTGTCTATAAAATCAGGATTATGCCGTCCCTCCGAAGGCCCTCACTCACAGAAGGTTGTGACAATCGACATGAATAGGTATAAAACCCACTGCTAACGGTGAGGGTCTACGGAGTGCTAATAGCTCATCTGAGACTCACATCGCCCTCACCTGGGCAGGCAGCAGACTATTATTCTCTGTGCTACCGAAGAACTTGAGGTTTGGTGGCCCGTCCACAGTCACCTGGCCCACCCACCAGGACCTTGGTCTCTGGACTCCAAATACATGGTCTCCAAGCTCCAAGTTTTACAAATTTGGAAGAGGCCACCTTCATCTCCAGACCCCTCTTCCTCCCTGATCTTCATGTATGTCCAGGGCACCTATTTTATATATATATATATATATAAAATATATATATATATATATATATATATATATATATTTTTTTTTTTTCACAGAAAGAAAGGGAGAGGGATAGAAAGCTAGAAACATCAATGAGAGAGATACATCGACCAGCTGCCTCCTGCACACCCCGCACTGGGGATGTGCCCACAACCAAGGTATATACCCTTGACCGGAATCAAACCTGGGACCTTTCAGTCCTCATACTGATGCTCTATCCCCTGAGCCAAACCGGTTTCAGCTGTCCAGGGCATCTTATCAAAAGCCCTGGAGCCACCACCTCAGCTATCAGGCCAGAGGTCAGGTCCTGGAAATGTCAGGAATGACCCAGCCAGTCCCGGCATCTTTGCCCAGGTATGTCTCCCCTTCTGGTGCTTTTCCAGAAACTAACCTTTGAGTTCAACAACAACCACGAGTCACTCGACAAGGAGCTGCACCTCCTCATCTTATCCTGCAGAAAGCTGTTTTACTTCAAAATCTGGGCTTTCCTTGATGTGAAGTTTGTGGAGCGGATTCTCAAGAGTCAGGAAGAAGGACAGTGTGCCCTGCGCACACTCAAGGTAAGAGCCCCCCGGGGAGGAACGGGCATCTGGGCCCCACGGGGCAGGTGTCCAGCCTGGGTCCAACATGGCAGCCTTGCTCCACAGGGTCCCTCAGAGACAAGGCAGGAGTGGGGGCAGTCAGACCACCTGAGTTCGTTTCCATTAACAGTTTCACCCAAGGGACCCCGGTTTGGGTTCTTCCTGCTTCTGCCCGCAATCGGTGCATGGACATCATTCTGATTGTTCTCAGTGCCCACGGATGTGTTTCTCTGTCGGCACAGGTGAGAATTTATACTAACAGATACGAGACAAATGAAGAGGACAGGACGCTGCGGGAAATTTACCGGAAGTACAGAAAGCTGATCGACTCAGAGCTTAACTATTTTGTCATCGCCTACGCCATGATGTAATGGCGCTCTCCAGAGGAAGGCAGAGGGGAGCACTCGGAAGTTGAAAACCTGGTTCTCTCACAGAAGGACACTTGGGGTGTCTCCTCCCCCGGCCCCTTTTTCTTCTCTCTCTCCTTTTTGCCAGTTCCGCACCAACACAAACACCCCAGAAAAGATGGGGCTGCTGGTAATAGGAAGGCCCCAGGTGACTTTAAAAGTGCTATATTTGCCAACTATCCTGGGGTGGTTTCTTATTTTGTCATTTGATTTTGATGTTCGCTCAGCCAGGAGCTAAAAGCTCAGAGCAGTTTCTTACCCAGGCTGCTGCTAACCTGTGCACCCGAAAAAGTGTAGCTAGCAGGGAGCAAATAGAAGCGTGTCGTCTACTCACTGACAGTATCAGTTCAGAAATGCTTTCTGTCCTGGCTGGCCTTCATGTCAGAGCCTCCTGACACTGACCTTGGCCAGGTCTGACCCCGGATGAATGGAAATCCATCAGCATGCCCTCCAATGAAGCAGGGAACGCCCCACTTTTAGAAGGAGGCCCCGAGAGCTGGAACGCCCTCTTATAGAAGGAATCCCACCCTCGGTTTATCAGTATTGGAGATTAATAATGCCAGCACCTCCTTTTCTTATCTTTTTTTTTTTAACCCTTTTGTTGTTGCTGTTTTTGTTTTGTTTTGTTTTGTTTTGGGTGTGTTTTTTTGTTTGTTTTTTTTCATATATTTTATTGATTTTTTTACAGAGAGGAAGGGAGATTTATTGATTTTTTTTTACAGAGAGAGATAGTTAGAAACATCGATAAGAGAGAAACATGGATCAGCTGCCTCCTGCACACCCTCTACTGGGGATGTGCCTGAAACCAAAGAATATGCCCTTGACCACCGGAATCGAACCCGGGACCCTTCAGTCCGCAGGCTGATGCTCTATCCACTGAGCCAAACCGGTTTCGGCTCTTATCTTTCTTAAAACATTTTTTTATTGATTTCAGAGAGGAAGGGAAAGGGAGGAAGACAGAAAACATCAGTGATGAGAAAGAATCATGGATGGGCTGCCCCCTGCATGCTCTACAACATGGGCACATGCCCTGAATGGGAATCAAATGTGACCTCCAGGTTCATAGGATGATGCTCAATCACTGAGCAACACCGGCCAGGCTGGCACCCCCTTTTCTTGTGTCACCTCCATTCTCCCATCCAGGTAGCATGGTGCCCAGCACTCAGGAGTGGGGCAGAACTGGAGGTGGCCATTACTCTCATATTTACAAAGAGTTTGTAATGTCGGGGGGAAATGTTCCCAAAGTGATGTTAAGTGAAAAAAGGCAGGACCCAAAGCTGTATACGTAGTGTGATATCAATCATATACAACACATAAGGGTTTGAGGTTTTTTGAAAGCATAGGAGAAACACAACAAAGATGTTAGCAGTTATATCTGGGTGTTAGAATGAGGAGTGGTTTTAATTTTCTTCTTTGTGTCTCTCCTTAGTTCTCAAATTTCCTACAATAACCACATGTTATTTTTTAGAATCAGGAGACAATCCGGTGTGTTTTAAATAGGGAGTCATACATTCCTGAGCCCATGCCATTGGGATGTATGGCTTTTGGTCTTTTGGGATTTTTGTGCAGATATTAATAGTTGCACATAGGGTTTTGTTTGTTTTTTTCAATAGATATAAATAAAACCTCAGAGTACTTTTGACGAGTGTCTCATTTCAGATTTTGTCTCCTCTTTTGTATGCTGTGCCCATATTCATGCTCAGCCTCTTAGGCCTTTATTCAAGTTTATATAGACTCAGTGTGGATACATGTCAGCTTTCAAACACGTCCACATTCACGGTCTCATCTGATGTCCCTTCTGGGTGGATACCGTTCCTGTTCGCTGCTCTCTGGCGAAGGGGAGCTCTCAGGTCTGACGGGAGAAGGTGCCCGAAAGTGTCATAGCTGAAACCAGGGGCCCTCTGGGAGCCACCTGGTTCCATGGGGACCAGAGAGGAGGCAGCTTGATGTGAGAGGGAGTTTCAGCTGGCATGCAGACCCCCTGGGAGAGGGGCTGATTGATTGGTGCAATGATTTATTCAGAGTGTGGACCAGTTCTGGTTTGTTTCCTTTCATCTGCAAGCACAGACTCCAAGGGTAGAGGATCTTTTATGGGAAACACGTTCATTAAAATGTTATTTATGTTAACACGTTTGCATAAGAGTCTTCATTTGTTTCACAGTTTTGCAAAACTCTTTCACGTCTGGCTTAATGGTAGACAGCTGGGCTCTCGCGGCTGCTTCTGCGTCTGCTGCAATGTCACACAGACCGCGCAGCTCCGGAGAGAATGCGAGGGGGAGAGGCACAGCATAGCATGTCTTGGTGTGGAAATAGTTTTGACCCCTTGGATTCCTTGAAAAAGGCCTCAGGGACCCTCAGCAATTGCCCTGACTACACAGGCATTCCAGTTCCCAGAGGAATGGAAACAATATCAAGACCCACAGAGTGCTCGTGGGACGACACAGGGCACGAAAGTTTTCCTAACCCACAGATTTTTAAATGTGTCCACTGCTTAAATGACCACATTCAGAGGCCCAGTGGCAGATGGAGACAGCCCAGACTTGTGGCCTGGACAGCTTGTCGTCCTTGCCTGTCCTTCCCCAGCACCGAGCAGGAAAGGGTGCCGCTGTCTCCCCATGCCCGCTGAGGGTCCGCAGAGAGCACCCAGCTTGGGAGATGCAGCATGGGAGAACTGCAGCATGTCCACATCTGTGTATGAGCTGGAAATGCAGTCTGCCTCCCCGGTGCCTCCTCTCCGCTGTTGATAAAACTGATGGAGCCCTGGAGACTGAATTTCCAAGTGTAAAAGGAAAGCGGGGCAGTGATCAAACTAAGGTATAAACCATTGCTCACGGGTGTGTATTTACCCCCTTATACACATTACCCAGACAGCTAGTCCAGAGAGGGGCCACGGAAATTATTTTTCTTTAATCCTCAGCCAAGGGCATGTTTATTGATTTGAGGGAGGATGAGGAGGAAGAGGAGGAGGAGGAAGAGGAGGAGGAGAAGGAGGAGGAAGACGAGGAGGAGGAGGAGGAGGAGGAGGAGGAGGAGGAGGAGGAAGAGGAGAGAGAGAGAGAGAGAGAGAGAGAGAGAGAGAGAGAGAGAGAGAGAGAGAGAGAGAGAGATCGTAGGTTGCCTCCCGTACATGCCCCAATGGGGGGATATACCCCACAACCTAGGTATGTGCCCTGACTGGGAATCGAACCCCCAAACTTTTGTTGTATGGGGTCAACACTCCAATCCACTGAGGCACCCAGCCAGAGCCTACAGAAATTCTTATTTGCAATTTGAAGCCACAGAATTTTATCAGTTCATTGGCTAAATATCACAGATGGTGACAATGTTGCATGGTCTCCCTGGGTGGTGCTTAGAAAATTAATTCCTATTCCTCTACATTTGCAAAATTGCAGACTAAAAAAATCTAGCCACCTACACACCCACATAGAAAATCTAAATGCTCGAGTGGAATGTAAGTCCCTTGAGCATCCATTTTTCCTGCATTTCTGTCTCCCCGAGCCTAGAACTGAGCCAGGTACAGAGGAGGCACTCAGTGTAGGTTAAATGATTTCAAATTAGATCTTGTTGAGGTGTGATTCCGCCTTGTTTACAGTGAACAATTATTTCAAAGTAATATGTGTTTTGTTTTGACCCATCATACTGTCGTAGACAAATATGTTTTCTCTTTAAGCAGTTCAGCAAGAGCACATCTATGATACTGATAAAGCTGAGTTAATTTAGTCAATTCTATCTTCTACTTCCAGATCACAGCTGGTAATATAAGGCCCTTACAAACCACCTCAGCGCCTTTCTCACCACCTCCCCAGTGTCCCTTCTTCACTGATAAAGGCCCAGGGAGGGGAGGGGACTCCTGGACCACTCCTGGACTAGTTACTATCAAAACTGGGGCCAAAAGCATGGCTAACCCCAAGGCCTTCGTGCTGTCACTCAAAGCCATTCCGAGAGATTTCTATCCAATCCCCTTCCCTCCAGTCTGTCCCCAGAGGAAGCCGAAGCGACAGCCTAACCTTGTCAATCACCTATGCAATAGATGACTTACTTGTGACTGAAGAATAAGACAACCTTGGAGAAATACCTGGAGCACGTGGGCTGGAGAGGTGGCTGACCCGCAGGTGGCCCCGTGCCCTGCCTCCAGCCTCTGATTGGCTAAAGGGAAAGCCTCTGGCAACGCCCCTCGCCCTCTAGTGTATTTCCATGAATGGGCTCTGGGATCAGGCCTCCTGAAAACCCCCCTATGTTGCCCCTGCCCACCTACCTGCCTTTCTACAGAAATTGGTTTGAGCCGAGACCGGTTTGGCTCAATGGATAGAGCGTCAGCTTGGGGACTGAAAGGTCCCGGGTTCTATTCCGGTCAGGGGCATGTACCTTGGTTGCGGGCATATCCCCAGTAGGGGTGTGTGTGCAAGAGGCAGCTGATTGATGACTCTCTCTCATCGATGTTTCTAACTATCTCTCTCCCTTCCTCTCTGTACAAAAATCAATAAAATATATTTTTTAAAAATAAATAAAGAAATAAAGAAACTGGTTTGAACATGACCGTGGTCTACAAGGTCTCACAGGACTTGACCCCTGTCCCGCTCCCCGAGCTCAGCTTGTACCACCTTCCCCTTTCTCCGGCCACCTGGCCTTTCCTCTGTTCATTAAAACGGGCAAGCGAGGGTGTTTTTTCTGGGTGTTCACATGATCACAGCCTTCTTGTCCGCCTTTATCTCCGCTCGGTGTCAGCTCATCAGAAAGGCCTCCAGCACCCTCTCTACAGCAGCCGCCTGTCCTGTCACTCGTCTCTGGTCACCCTGTCTATTTCCATCAGGGCCCTGTCACACTAGCGGAGAGGGCTTTGTTGTTCCTGTGAACCGCCTGCCTCTGCCCTGAGCTCTGAGAGGACACGTCAATTCACCTCTAATCTCCGCGCCTGGCCCAGTCCCTGGCACTAAACTGGAGCCTGGCAAGTATTTGTCATATAA